AGTGACATCGTTTATGTTCCTGAAAGCCTAAAGACCGCTGCTTTTTTCTTAAATGATATACAGATTCCCCCATAACATTAAGTATGCTGAAAGAAAAGTGGTGAAGGACATGTAAAGCCCTTCTTAAAACTTTAAAGTCTTTCTGTAGTTAGAAGCAGCAAGTTCTTATATCTAGTCTTTGATACCAGTCACACCAAAAGTTAATAAAATTTATTTCCCCTTCTTTTGGGAATAATTCTAATGCAGCAGCCTTGGTTTTGAAGTCTGTCACCTCTGTGAAGGCGTTCAATTCATAGAGTACCGTGAAGGGGAAAAAAACCCTTAAGGCTACAGGCTATCTGGATCATAAAAAATATTCTCCGTCTTTATAAGATATATTAATAAGCCAGTCTTACACAGTTGCTTACTCAATAAATTTATTGCCACTTTTTCCAAAGCTTCATAGAAAATTGTGGAAGTTGTCTTAACTATCAGCTGCACGCTCCTGGGCCCTGAGAAAGCTAGCCTTCTTCTGAGCAACACGATCTTTCTTCTGGGCAAGGGACATCTTTGGACAGTTCCATCTGCAATGTAAGCACAGTGTACGAGATTATCCAAGGCAGAAATAAGCAAAAAGGGGTCAAGAAAGCTGCAGTGCACCAGAACTGTGATTAAGAGTGCTACGCTAGAACATGTTCCCATTTCTGTACCAGCTTTATTTCCTCATGATTTAAGTCTGTAGTTAGGGCACCACAAAAAGGCACAGTTAGACTGTAGCAGTTTACTCAAGAGGTAAGCTCAGTACTCTTTTGTGACTCAAGTATATTTTGTGACTAAAGTATAGACAGTATCAAGCCCAATTCAGGAGCTGTGCCTTTCTTTTCTCTTAGACCCCTGAAAAATCAGAACAGTTTAGTACTGACAAATGAGTCAGCCTGCCCTCCCTTGAAGAGGAGCAGCTTTCCCCCCGAAAAGGGTAAGACCTGAAGATACACACCAGGCCCCAAGCATGCTTTAAATTTTTCAATGTAGTTGAAGGCTCTTGAGTTTTAGATTCCTACCACTAATGTTAACTTCTGACAAAGTTATAAAGAAATGCTTGTATCTTAATCTGATCTAAAAACCACTTGAGTTTTGACACAACTGCAATGTGAATCACATTACTTGTTTTAACGTAACTAAAATATCTTCAACAGAAAGTTACATTCATACTAAAGAAAATGAGTTTTACCTCTTTTTCTTTACTTCTCTCTTGGGTTTCTTTTCATGGACTGGATTATCCCGTATAGCAGCATGGGCTTTTTTATACATTTCTTCCATCTTAAAAATAAATAAAATGATTACATTCTCCATAGTGGTCCAGCTGTAGGATCATATAAAAAAATCCAAGATACCCTTACCTGAGCATGCACTAGTAACAGGCTTCATCACAGTACAGCTTGTAATTTTGTGTGGTTTCCTTTAAAACAGTTCCTTCATACAGAGTATTATTGCCACAGTATACTGAAATTCCTACTATCACTGTAATACAACTTAAATATCCAAACCCACCACTTAAGACACAAAGTGGAGAAAGCAATTTTATACTTATTTTACACTTAGGGAACCGAGGCCATAGAGTAACTACAGACTCCTTACAAGTCTCATAAATACATGATAGCATCTTGCAGTTGAAATAATAGTTTTTCTTCTGACGCCTACTTTCAGTGCCATAGCTTCTCTGTATTTAAATTAAAAGGCAGTCTAGAAAGTTATTCTACTTCTGCCTAGAATAAAATACTTCATGTTTACTTGTTAAGCCAAAATTACTCCACATAAACTCAGTCATCAGACATGTAATCTTACCACTTTCAGAC